TATGGAATACATCCCTAATCTTTATAATCCAGTACTTATAAAACTGTATAAATAGAAGAACGAGGAATGAATATTGTGATGAAAAGAAAGAGGACAATGATATGATATCTAAAGAATGCACATGAAAAGAATAGTTAAAAATAGTGCTAGTACAAATGGTGAAGTGGCTACAACTATTTGTTCTAAAGTCTTAATTTAAATGTATTTTATGCATGTGCTCATTATAGCAATAGCTATAATCTTTCATTGACAAGGTTCTAACCTCTGAGGCTCATGCTACTCATTTGTTGTATGTAACTAAAAATTCTAATTTGCAGTGTTCTCACAAAGAATATTGAAAAAATATCAGCTAAACCTGCCAAGTAGTGAATATGGAGCTGTAAGTTTTTTGTTCTTAAAACCTTCTGGTGCGGGGGAGGGGAAGATATTGCATCGGGTACTGCATCGGGAATATAGTTGTTTGTTGGTTCATTTGTTTCCGTTTGTTTCATTTGGTGTTGCTTTCCCTCATGGGAAATACATACTGCAATTAAATGAAGGAGAGTATGGCAGGGTTCTGGTTCTTTGTGGAAAGATCATTCTTCCAGAGCAATGCACAATCTTAGAGACATATATTTCTCCATGGCTTTCGAAAGGAGTTTTGGGTTTTTGTTTGTTTGTTTGTTTGTTTGTTTTTGTAATCTACTCTTAAAATTTTGCCGATATATTAAATTGATGTAGAAGATATAGTTTACAAAAGTATTTTCTATATACTCAATTAGAGCTTTATGAAGGAATATGGATGGAATACTTTACTAAAAATAAAGTTTACAAAATCTTGAGTAAATTTCCAGCAGTTTAACCATTCCAAATATTTCCCCGACATGATAAAGTTTGCTTGCCATATTTCAAAGTCCAAATATGTACGAAAACTATCCAATTCCTCCATTTCTCTTTCTAAGACCTCCCAAGGATAAATTTTATGAAACTCTAGTACTGCTAAGAAGCAAAATACAGTATTGTGGAACATCAAACAACCCAATTCTATGAGTTTAAAATAGTTTAATCACAACAAAGCAATGATTAACAGTTAAAGAATAGATTGATCAGTTTTGCTGCTTTAAGTATAACTTGTATTTACTTGAAATATTGTAATGTTTACAAACTTATCTATAAGCCAATAATTTGGAAAATGCAATGAGAATCTTCTGCAAAAAGATAACATTTATCTCTGTGGCCTTAGAGACTGCATAGCTTTCCAGAAGGCCTCTTTGATGTCTTTGTTTCTCAGGCTATAGATGAGAGGATTGAGCAGTGGGTTGACCACGGTGTAGAACAAGGCAGCCACTTTGTCCCTCTCCAGGGAGTAAGTGGAACTTGGTCTTGAATACATGAAGAGCAAGGATCCATAGAAGAGCATGACCGAGATAAGGTGTGAAGCACAGGTGGAGAAGGCTTTGCGCCTTCCTGAGGCCGAGCGGATCCTCAGAATAGCCACAAGGATGTTGAAATAGGAAATCAGGATGGCAAGAATGCTGGAGAGGACCGTGAAGCCCACTACACCCAGGAGGACTTTTTCGTAGACCCGGGTGTCTGTACAAGACATTTTTACCAATGGTGGTGCATCACAGAAAAAGTGGTCAATGATATTTTTACCACAGAAACTCAGACGGAAAGTGTTGGCAGTATGGGCTATGGCATTCAAGAACCCTCCTATGTAAGAGCCAGCAACGAGACCGGAACACAGAGAGCTGGACATAGCTCCTGAATAACGTAATGGATTGCAGATTGCCACGTGGCGGTCATATGCCATGGCTGCAAGGAGGTAGCACTCAGTGTAGGCTACAACACAGGAAAAAAACAACTGGGCTCCACATTCAGCCAAAGAAATGCGCTTATCTTTTGAGACACAGTTGGCCAGGATTTTGGGAGTATAAACAGAGGTGTACCAAAAATCCAAAAAAGACAGATTGCCAATGAAAAAATACATAGGTGTGTGCAGGTGGGAGTCAATACGAATTAAGATAACCAGGGTCATGTTCCCTGACAAGGTCATCAAATAGAGTGTCAGAAATATTACAAATAGAATCAGCTGCCACTGAGGTTCCGCTGAGAAGCCCACCAAAATGAACTCAGTCAGGATGCTACGATTTCTCACTTCCATGTCTGCAGAGAAGAAACCTGATAAGGATTTTGAGGGGTAAAAATTAATTAGTGATTTCTCTATAGAAATAAATAAAGCTATCAATTAATTCAATAATTACTAGGAGGATTTTATCCATATCTATCTAAAATGCTAGGATTTTAGCCTGTGACTTGAGAAGACCACAGGAATTGATGTTAGAATCTAATTTTGGAATTAAGGCTTTTACTTGTTAATTTTTTAATGCAGGGCAAGTTTCTTAGTTTCACTGAACAGACAAGAAAAATAAAGCTTCCAGGTTGTTTGATTGAGTAAAGAAGATATGTACAAAAACACTCAGCATAGTAAGCATTCAAACAAATTTCAGTGTCCTTTGTGTTATTGAGAATTTACATCAAGCATTGTGCTGATAGTTACACAAATACCAAGGTACTATACTACTCTTGCAACTAGTAGTACAAATAGAAATATATATATAGTTATATATGTGTGTGTGCATACACACACATAATTAATTACTTATTATGTGTCAGTTAATATTCTAACTCCTAATTTTAATCCACTTAATCCTTTCCATAACTTTATAATGTAGGTACTATTATGATCTTCATGGAGTTTAAGAAATAATTCCAAGGTCACCGAAATAGTAAATAGCAGAACTGATTTGAACCCAGAATTTTTCTTATCAAGAGTGTATGTTCTCAACTGTTAAGCCATTTATGTCTTTTTCTCTCTTGTTCTCATAGCTAAAGTAACACTATAACTCTCTGAATTTCTTTACTTATCAAAAAAAGCTTTATAATATCCTCTTTCTAAGGAACGATTGTCCCCCACTTTCTCTTATTGATGTGAAACTTGTATACATGGCCGAGGTATTTTTTGATATAATGGATGCTGAATATTAGGAAGAAACCAATTTTTGGTGTCAAGGATTCATCAAGAAACCACGAATCCTTCAGCGTTCATATCTTGAGGCTACACAGCCCTCAGAGAGAATCTAAAAGGAGGGACTGGTTAAAACACACGGAGTTAGGGCTTATGCCCCAGTAGCTGGCTGACTTTCTGCTAGCTAAAAGGGCATGGGAGAAAGCTAAGCCGAGAGAGCACTGTGATTTACTTCGATGTTTAAAACATTAGCCTTTGAGCTAAACCAGATCAGTTCATAATTAGAATGCAAATGCAAGTTTTCTACTTCAAGGTCTGCTATTTCTGCTTGTTAGGAAGCGAGGTATCTTAATCTTTAAATATTAGGTGTCCTAATCTTTCAAATGTAGCTGATAACGTTCAGAGAGGACATTCCTTGATTGGTGACACTGTGGTTAATATAGCTTGGAATCCCAAAAATCATTCCACTTCTCCAACATTAATATAACTGGATCTCTTCTCATTAACACACAAAGCACAGATGTTTTAGTCCTATCCCCAGTGTTCCATAAGCTGGCTTTAATTTACCTTTATAACTCTCTCCCGCCACTTGTCTTCATCTACTTAGGTCTTCAACCAAACTAAATTGCTCACATGATTTCCTCACAATAATCTCACACAACCTGAGAACTTTATACTTATAGTACTATGTTGGTATTTATTTGTACATTATAATTGTTTCCTTAATCTGCTCAAGCTTGAGTAGAATAATCTTGGAAGAAACCTATGGTCAATATATTTATAATGTATAAATAATGGGTTATAGCCATCATCTCAATAATAACTATGAACTTTCTCTGCTGTCTATACAGTGAAAAATATCTGGGACTTATTAAACTCATCTTTAATGTAATATAATTTTGAAGGTAATGAAAATATGTAGACAGCCAATTGTTACTCTTCTGCCACTACCCCCTAACAATGCAAATAACTGAAAAAAAATAACTTTTTTGTCTACTGCTCAAAGTCTTCTCATAAGAAGAGGTATTTAAATGAGACATGAAAAATGGGCTCAATGTCACCCACTGTAGAGGTAAGAAGAGAGGGGAGAGCAGTTCCATGAGGAGAAAGAACACACACCATAACCCTCCCATGAGTAGGAGTCTGGTGAGTTCACAGAGCTGAGAGAGGTTAAATTAAGATGGGATGGAAAGAGGAAACAGGGAATGAGCCACAAAGCTTATTGGAACCATATTAATGATTATAGCCTCTAAACCAACAAAAATGGAAGCCATTGCCATTATGAGAAATTAGCATGATCAGACTTACATTTTTAAAGTTTACTCTGGGTGCAGATCAGAGACAAGATTGAAAGGGAGCAAGAGTTCCCTCTTGACTGGAATCTCTCTGAAATCTTCAACTCTCACCTGTTGAGGCCAGTCCCCTAATAAATTATTGTGTAATTTCAAACAAGCTGCCTTGAATGTAGGACAAAAATACTTCAGATTTCTTTGTTTGAAAAAATTTATGTATTTTGTGCCTTAATATTCGTTCCAACTTTTAATAAATTGCTTTTAAATTTTTTTAAAAACTTCTAGGTAGAATTATTTGGAATTGTATAAACTTGGACTTTATACCCATAGACAAAATTCAAAGACTGTCAGTCTCAATCTCTCTTCTAACTAGGAATTTTTATTGATATAGTAATTTAAACTCAAAATGCTAGAAAAATTTTAAAGACAAAATGCTTCAAAGTATGGATTGCTAATAAAAGCATCTCCTCTCTATTTTTACATAGGAAACTACAAAATCTTGTGAATTTGATGAAACATAGGACATTGTACTGAAAGACCCAATCTTACAGTTATTCTTCTGAGTTCTATGTGAAACATAACTATATTGCAAATTCATCACATTATATTTTAGTACCAACTTCAATATTTAAAAGAGGAATATGTAAATTAACCAGAAACCAGTGGCCTATATGAAATATTTAAAAAAAAAAAAAAACAAAAAACAGGACCACATTTCTTTACTGATTTCCTGATTTCAAGATTAGGTTTTGTTATTCTATCCTATGACCTATGATTTGGGGTGGCTTTGTGGTTTACTTTGGCCAAAAGTTTGGAGCATAGGCAGGCAAGCCTGGGTTTCAAGAGGCTTCGCATGCTTCTCTTATCATTTTGGAGATTCTTCCACTACCATGTAAATAAGCCTGGGTTAGCTTGCTGGATAAGGAGACATCTGACTATAGTCTCTCTGTGACCATAGCTAACAGCAAGCTTGTTAGTAGGTCCATTCTTCATTATCCAGCCCCCTACTCAACTAATAGCTAACCACATTCATATGAGCAAGATTAGCTGAGAGTAGATAGGTCTGGCATAGGTGGATTTGCATAACTGCATAATTGAAATGGCAATCAAGTTCAAATCTTGATTTCACTCCTTGATAGCTCTGCAGTCTTGAAGAAGTATTTAACAACTTCCAATCCATATTCTTTCACCTTTAAAAGGTAAAAAAATTGTCAGTGCTATGTACATAAAATGCATAGCCCAGTGTGTCTTAGGTAGATAGAAAATATACCTAAGTAATGGTAGGTATGTTTATTCTGAGTGAGAGGAATAATAACTGACTTATTTATAAAAGCTGAGCTTCAGGAAAAAATAAATAAAGTCAAGTTTCTACAAGAAGACAATTTAAACCATAATGGTGGTATACTTCAGAATCTTTCTGACATCTTAAGTTAACATTTTTGTCACCTACTCTCACGTAAATGGACAAAGGAGTGGCAAGCTTGGGAGTGACAGTTCATTGGCCTTGGATTGAGGAGTCCTGTGATAAAGACAGAGCCTGTCACTATCACCTGCATAACTTTAAAAGAGTAACCTGTCCTCTCCATAACACAGCTTCACCCACATGAAAAAAATTGTTGATTCAAGCACCCAACTTCTATGATTCCAATTTGTTAATGTTCTTCAGAATTCATCATAAAAATAGAATGGGTAACCTCATAGGCAACAATACAGCATTATAGAATAGGTTAACAGCCCTTATATATATACATATCTTCAGATACATTGGGGTATTATTATCACGTTGGTTGAAGCGAGAGACAGAATTTACTAAAGACAACATTTCCTTTTTACTTTAAAATTTGTGTACTCTTTCTTATTTCCCTAAAAATCAATCCTCTGAGCTTGTTTATATTCTATAACTACTATGTTCCTTAGTTTTTTTAATCTAAGAATTTAACAGGTCTTAAATTTTTGAAATCAAATCAAGGACATCTTTGAGAACGTAATGAAAGTAATAATGCTTCTACAGAATTTTGAAAACTGCTTATATGTATAAACACAAAATTTTAGAGAGTTCCCAAATCCTCAGAAATCTATTCATTTTGTAGTTATAATTCTTAATTAAAAATTCTGCCACTAAAAGATACCTCAATTTCTTTTCAGTGTTAACAGTTTATAATTTTAAGAGTAACAAATGCTTCAGATTTTTAATGTTTAAAGCTGTATTCCTAATCTTGACTCCCCAAAATTGATCTATCTAGTCACATCTTGTATAATTTAATCTTCCAGATTCTTAAGCCACAGATTAGGAATCAATCTACTCTCTTTCTCTCTTACCTCCTCTTCAGTATTCCAAGAAATCTTGGTGTCCCTACCTTTGAAGCACACCTTGGATCAGAGCACTTCTTACCACCTCCATTGCTATGGCCTCAGTTAGATCACCATCATGTTTTGCCAAGAATACTGCAATATCCTTCTAATGTCTATGCACTTGTCCCTCATGCAGTCTATTTTCAGTATATGTCAATATAATCTTGTTTAAGATATGGCCATTTATGACATTCCTGTACTTAAAACAACCCTAATACACAACCAATTTATTCTGTTAGAGTCCAATTCCATACAAAGTCCTAAAGGTCTTCCATGAGACAGTTCTCCATTGCCTACAGGTCTTTACCTCCTAAGATTCACTTTATTTTCAATTTCATGCCCTCTTCCCACCAACAATCCCCATCCTTCTTATTCTGTTGAGACTTTGCTCTGTTTTCCCCAAGACCTATTGTCATCTTCTAACTTCTGTTTCTCAAGATTTTTGCCCCTTTTTCCTTACCAGAATGCAAAAACATGGATCCATAAGATTTCTCTGTTTTGTTTACTACTGTATCTCAGCATATAGAAAGTAATTGGCAATTAATAAATATTTCTGGAATAAACAAATGGGTAATTATCTTTGAGTCTTGAAACTTTTTTCCCCTTCAGTATTCAGTAGAAGTATTGTCTACCTCTAACCTAGCTCAAATTATTCAGGACAAATTTACCTTCATGTGGACTTTCCAGGCTCAACGTACTGTATCACTAATAAGAAGGAAGAGTAAATAAAGAGAGGATTCATCTCCATCAAACTCATAACCATCAAGGTGACCTAAAATCTATCTTGAATTTGAAATAAATTGCAATAAAAATGGGAATGTGGAATAAAACACACAGAAAAAGTGAGAGCCAATTCTGCTGAAAATTTCCATATAGAGCAGCTTCTCAAGTTTTGTGTTTCCCTATAGAAGCTCTGTTTCCTAATCCATCACTGAAACACTAAAAGTTTTGTGAAAGAATGTTTCCCTCTAACGCCTGAAAATGAGTACCAAGAAGTGAAAAAAATATACTAGTACTTTGAAAAGCTCAGAGTACCACGACCACTGGAGTCTGAAAGCATGCCACTTTGGTGTCCTCTTGTTTTCTCTATTGTGTAAGTGAATGCATGATGACCCAGTATAATTACCAGACTGAATTTTGAATTCTAGATGAGCGCTGCAGATATCATTAGTGGAATCCTATTTAGAAGAGTGTGTGTGTGTGTGCGTGTGTTTGTGTGTTTAGCATAACCATAAACTTTTGAGAGGCATGCCAGATTCTATATCCTCCCTTTTAACTTCAGCTGAAGTCACGGAGAGGCCAAACCACTCAGCTGCCCCTGATCCTAGCTGCTTACCTTTGATCAAGAAAGACACTCCTAGAAATGACACCCTTTTTTCCACTCTTCTGATGTTTTAGTGTGCTTTTCTGGACCTGACATAGGCTTTTCTCAATAGCCCTTTGGGACTTCTTGTACACAGTAGCCCAGAAATACAAACCTTAGTCTCCAAAGAATCAATTAGAGTTCTTTTGGTATATGAAGATGATATATTAATTAGGATATAATGAAACGAGGAGTATTTTATTAAAAGTTGACTCTCTTAATGGATCCAAGTTACAACATAACCGTAATTGTGTCTGATATAGGAACTCTTTAAATTGAACTAATTAGAATTTTCTACAAATTATCACAAGATCCATAATTTTTTTCCTTGCCATATGCTCTTCTATCTGTTCAGGCTGCCCTTCCTTGTCTCATTCATCAGGAAACTCATCAGTCTGTCATGATATGGGTTGAATTGTAACCCCCCAAAAATTTCTATGCTGAAATCTTAACTCCCAGTAACTAGGAATGTGACCATGTTTGGAGAAAGGGCCTTTACAGATGTGATTAAGTTAAAATAGGGTGGTTACGGTGAGCCTTAGTCCATCTGATTGGTATCTGTAAAAAAAGAAAAATGGAAATTTGATATCAAGGATGTTTGTGCATAGAGAAGAGACCATGCGAGAAGAAGCAAAAGGGTGGCCTTCTGTAAGCAAAGGTAAGAGGCCTCAGGACAAATCAACCATGATGGCACCTTGATTTCGGCTTTTTAGCCTCCAGAACAGTGAGAAAATATATTTCTGTTGTTTTAGCCACCCAGTCTGTGGTACGTTATGGTAGTTCAAGAAAACAATTATACTTGATTATTAACCCTAAGGATTTTTACATTGGCACAATCTCATGTTTTCTATAGGTGAAGACTATTAAAATTAGGAAATGTGATACATCATAATAGTTTCTAATTTTTATTAATTCATGCATAAAACAGAACAAGCAAAGAAATACAAACAGGCAGAGAACCTTACTTAATTGTTATCAATCATTGCTTTACCTAGTAGAGATTTTCCCTCTGAATCTTGGATGTAAAATTCTTTTAAATTTATCTATATCTCTTTATTTATCTCTCTATTTCTATCTACACTTCCATTTCTGTTTCATACGGCCGCTATACTTTTGCCCCTGATTCTATAATTGTTGGGGAAAATGTGCTTTTATTGGAAGCTCACAGTGATTCTAACATATTTGTTCTCTCTTGTATCTATTGCCAAAGAAGTCTTTGTATCATGGCAAGCAAAGAAATAAGAATCAGAAAAGAAAAATTAACTTGTTTCTTGGGTCATTTTATAGTAGAAATTTTACTTATGACTTCCCAACTCACTTTGTCTCCCAACAAATAGGTTAAGAATCTTGGAAGTCAGAAGTTCTGG